TGTTTTACTATTTTGAATGTGTTGACCTAGTTGAAACCGAGGTTCAGGCATTGTAAACATTTTCCATTTTCCTAGATTTTCTCCAAATGAGTTTATATGCATATACAAATACTCTGACACCAAATATCTAGATATCTTAACATCATAAGCATGTTGGTAAAAAATAATAATAAAACAATCTGATCAGAATTTGCACTATTTGCAGTAAGGAAAAACCATTCACCTTTCATATTGAAATTGTCAGAATTTTTTACACACTTTCTATTCTCTTAGGAGAAACATTTTTATTGCTAAATATCAAATTGACATTTATATTTGCCTCACAAAAAATTCTAAAAAATTTCGAACAGTACCGTTTGTGTTAAGAGGGTCTAGCAGAAGATAAAAATCGATGAATTGACGTCCGATATTTTATTGTTGAAATGTCTAGAGGATGGCAGTAGAAAAGGTGTCTCATCTTGAGAGTCAGTTTTGTTCATTAGCAACATTGTGTTTATTTTAAACTATTTGGGTCGAAAATCAGTTTTTCCAATATATCGGGTGATTCAGTTTGATATTCGCGGTCTCGTATCTCTTTTATTTTAACAAATAGCTATAACAAACCTTATATATTTTTAAATCCCCGCTCAAACTCTATCAAATGACATTATCAGAGCGTCTCCATGGTAACATGTGTCAAAATTGCTATACAGGGTGTTAGTAAATAAGTGCGACAAATTTCAGGAGGTGATTCTACATGAGAAAATAATGGCAGTTTGCTTATAAACGTATGTCCGCAAATGATTCGTTTCCCGAGATACGGGGTGTCAAAGTTTTTCTTAAAAACTGACGAATTAATTTATTGCTCTGAAACCGGTCGAGATGTGCAAATGAAATTTGGTGGGTTTTAAGAGCTAGTTATTGCGCATTTTTTGACACGCAATTATGAATTTTATGTTCATCATTGACGTGCGTACGGGTAATAATCTCAATTTTTTAAAGAAAAAAAGGTACAAATTAAAAATCATTTTTGAATTCCTCGTTCAATTTGTGACAAAAAATCTCTCTTGCCTTTTCTTCGTATGGGGCGCCGTTTTGATGAAAAAAAAACATCTTAACGCGTATTTCTTATTTCTTTAATACATTACCTAGTAGGCTACTGTCAACATTTGTCTGTTAAATACGAATATTTTTAAGAAATGTCAAATTAGCGTTTCGTCATTATTAATTTATTGAGCTTTTAGTTTGCTATAACATTAGTGTTAATAAGTAATTAATTTTTCTTTTATCGAAAAGAATGGAAAATTTTACAAATGCGGAATTGTCAGACATGCATTTTGTCTATGGTCGAAGTAATGGAAATGGTCGGCAAGCTCGACGATTGTATGCTGAGTTGTATCCAGGACGTAGGGTACCTCATCACACAATATTTGCTCGTCTTCATCAACATTTGTGCGAAAATGGTTCATTTAAGAAACAAACGGTTGACTGTGGGCGCCCTCGAGAAGTACGAACTGTGCAACTAGAAGTAGCAGTTCTCGAGTTAATTGCGGAGTCACCTGAAACAAATACTCGAAAAATTGTCAACATATTGAATGTAAGCAACTTCACTGTATTTAAAATTCTTAAAGAACAGCAATTGTATCCGTTTCATATTGAACGTGTGCAAGCTCTACTACCTAGAAACTTTTTTCCGCGCCTATTTTTTTGCCACTGGATTAATCATCAAATCGCTCAAATTCCTAATTTTTTAAATGCCGTTTTGTTTACTGACGAGGCTACTTTTGGACGACAGTGTATACGAAATTTCCATCACAATCACTTATGGGTTGAGGAAAACCCCCATGGAATCTTTGAAGCTCATTTTCAGCATTAGTTTTCCGTAAATGTATGGCTTGGGGTAATTGATGATCATTTAATCGGCCCATATTTCCTCCCACAACGACTAACAGTCACTACCACAGACTAACTGACTAACATAAAACCAGTTGACTATAGCAATTTTGATATATGTTACCATGAAGACGATCTAATAATGTCATTTGATAGAGTTTGAGCAGCGATTTAAAAATATATAAGGTTTGTTATAGGTATTTGTTAAAATAAAAGAGATACAGGGCCGCGAATACCAAACTGAATCACGCGGTATTGGAAAAACTATTGATTTTAGAGAAAAGTGTTCAAACCTACAAAATGCCGCCTGATAGATTAAAAGCCGATAAATTGTTTAAAAGTTATTGCAAAAAAGCCTGGAAAAACAGCATTTTTTTAATTATCCATAACTTGGTTGTTATTTTTTTGAATTTTATAAATATGCCTAAAAGTTGTGTTTTATTGTTCTTCAAAACTGTGTGCTGTGGGCCCAATAATTTTTGTAAAATTCTGTTAATCCCGTCAAAGGCAAAAATGCATAAATTTACCTTCTGTCTCTCCGAAAGTTATTAACAAAAAAGGGTTTAGAAAGTCGGTTTTTAAAGCTTAAAACCTAACTTAGCTTTGTATTTAAATGGATTTTTGATTTATTGCCAGGGGCCCTCTTGAAAAAAGTCTAACTCGGCTCCAAAAGGGCGTAAGAACATTTTTTTAAATGTGTCTTTTAATAGGTATACAATCACACTTTCTATATAAATAAATGTATAAAAAAAGTGATAAAAAATACTATTTTTTAATATAAAAATCAGTTTTTTTAATTGTCTACAGAAACTTTTGCTGTTCAGAGTCATTAGTTACATCAAAATATTCATATACAGTGTGTTCCAATATTCCGTGTTAGGATAATTCAAATAACATTATTTCCTTTTAACTTTCTACCTAGAAAAAAATGTTAATGCCAAAAATTTGAGAAATTTTCTTGCGATTTCGAAGAAATGTATATAAAAATCAATTCAGCGTTGCATTTCGAAGATATAAATTTACAGGGTATTTTCTAGCAATCTAATATTTCAGTGGGTAAAAAGTATATATTAACATACATATAACACAAAAACAGGAGCGTGTTTTATTTGTTTTTCGTAATTTTCGTTATTTACCTTACATATAAAATGTGTCTTAGAATTTTTTCATTTGAAACCTAGTTCTAGAGATAAATTTATATAACTAAAAACTAAGTTGCAAATGAAAAAATGCTAACAGTCATATTTTGTCAATCAATACAAAAAACTCACAAAATTAAAAATTTCAGTGGCATGCATCTTTTGAAGTACCAAAGTAGATAGTATGGCATACACACACCCCCTTCATGAGGTGATTAAATTTTGGTTTTAAGTAAAACATAAGATACATCTAATAGGCAATCTACTCGTTCACGGTAAGAGAAAAAGAAAACATTCCGTTATTGAGATAAAAAAAATAAACCTCCGTTTTTGGGCATATGTTAAGATGAACTTTCTTCATAAACTAACGGTGCCTGTGAAATGTTTCAAGGAAACACCTTGTATATATTTAGCATATTAGTGTGCAAGATTTATTTAACATTATAAATATCTAATAACAAGTTTAATGTAACACCTAAATGTAGACGTTTTATATTGACTAAGGAACGCTATTATTTAGATTATTTATTTTAAAATGATTAATGGCGTTAAAGCAGCAAAATTTTTATAAAAAGAAAAACAATTTTATAAAAAAATGGCAATTAATTTATTTTTTCCAGTTGCCTTCAAAATATGTGGCTTCTTTAAGTTTTGTCGTTTTTATTTTTCAGTGTTTTTTCAGAATCGTTTTTAAAAGGCGACTTGATAAAGCAATACTTAAAGTGGAAAAATATATTAGATAACACAGACCTATAAAAAAATGCTCTGTACCAGAGAGTACATAGATCTTGTGCATTTTCTGATGCTAAATCCGAATCTGTAGCCCAAAAACCGATTCACTATTGCATTTTTTAGTAAAACGCTAAAATATCTCTTAAAATAGCATGAACAGTGAAGATAAGGTAAAGCTTTATAATGAAAGGCAACAATTTGTAAATAATCACAGGTCAACAAGGGTCAAGAAGCAGACACACTAATATGCATTCCCGAAGGATTTTGGTGCGCTGAATCCGAATCTGGCCGCAGAATTGCTCTATCACGTTAGGTTTTTGAGATATCGTAACCTAAAAGTGCAAAAACACTGTTTTTCATCATATTTGAGGTTATGTAGTCATGCCATCTATTCTTTTCAAAAAAAATACATATAATTTAAAAGTAGAAGGCTCCCTCTTTCGAATGCCGTTGAGCTTGCTCAAATATTTTTTTTTTTCGTTGAGATATCACATGTTCAAATTTCTAAGTTTATCAGTTTCTTAATATGCGAAAATCTACTAAGGATCCCTTAGACGTCAAACAGTTGATTGCAGTTCAGAAACTTCATACTCAGAAACCTTCAATACATACGAACTCAAACTCATAAACTCCAAATCTACAAACCCACAAACCCCAATCCCACAAAACCCGATCCTACAAACTCCAAGCTTACATACAAACCCCAAGCTTACATACAAACCCCAAGCCCACCAACTCCAAACTTACAAACCGTATGGGTAATTTTTGTCCAATTTTTTCATACACTGTATGAGTACACGGTACCTACTGTATAAACATGTGTTATACATACATTGGACGTATGGCTACGACCTTTCTAATTACAGTAATAACATTAGCGATTTATTGTTTTGCGATTATGTTATTATTTTTGAAATTTGCAGAGATTTTTTAAAACTTGACAAATTTCGACCGCTCTGTATACATTTATGCTCTCGCTAGATGATACCCAAACAAAAGCATTTTCCAAATAGTAGTAACCCTGTGCGGGGGAAATAAATTAACAAAGCAGTATACCAAACAGTCCCAATGTGAAATATTGAGTAAAAGAGATATAAATAAGCTTCCAAATGAAGTATGGCAATCTAGGTGTTATTTGCGAGGCCGATCGTCGCGACGCCGCTTCTCAACGTTGTTTTAATCAGTACGTGCTGCTGCCGGCCACCTGGACGTCCGCCTGATATTCGATGTTGTATGTTTCAAACAATTGCTATTTATTTAATGTGGAAACAGTTACTTTAATTCAAACCGTTCTAGTAATCAAGCAGTAAAACCATGTGACGAGTGTATATTTATAAAAAAATACGTCGAGTTGGAATTTCCTTCTGGAATTAAACGTGTTCTAAAGTGATATTGAAATATCTAGTTTTGTAAACGAAATGCTCGGATTGATGCGGCCGGTCTTGTGCTTCGCGTTGTGCCAAATGCGTCTTCCTGAGGTTGTTTTAATCTACGGAAGCTGATGTAGTGATGTGTTTATTGCCCACGCCTGCAATTCTGAGAGGAGAGTGCTCTAAGCCGGAGCCAGAATGTAAATAGAACCGTTTTTTAAAACAGCGCCCGTCGAGCGCGTCTCGAGTTTATGAAATAATGAGTAAGAAATCAAAAGTGCGCCACCCCAGCCTGGAAATGGCCGATCCGGAAGTCATTAAGAAGAAACAGGACGTCCTCAGCAAAGCTAGAAATAAGCTGTTGAACTTGAGCGATGCTTTAAAGTCTTCCAAAAACTTAGAAGTGCCCGATCAAAAGAAAACGATTACGAAGTCCATGACCCAAGTCACCCTCGACTATTTCTTCAAGCATTGCCCCAACAAAGAAAGAAACCATATTTACGCCAATACACGTGCTCCTCCAAACGGAAACCGATCGACGCTGCGAAAACAAAACTCGGTAGGTTCGTATCCAATAAGAATAGAGATATCAGCTGAGGACGACGACACGTTTCCTGATATCATCTCTCGAACAAGACCTGCAACTGTTTGCGTTGACAAATTGGATGCGCCTCGTGACGCCGATGCCTTGGCACTTGAACGGCCTCGGAAAAAGTTATCTTTCCGCGACCCGGAAATTATCGGGACGAACAATAACAAACCAAAGGTGAACGGCAGCAGTTACTACACGATATATAAAAAAACGGAAAGGAAACTGTCGCCGAAATCGCCCCAAATTAAGAGAAGCGCTAGTTCGAATGGCATACTGCAAAGGAAACCTAGTTTCGATGACTATGACTTAGAGGTATTGCATGTTTCTTTGCGCTGCCCACGCGTTTTATAATTTTTTGTCATGTTATTTTTAAAATATCTTGTTGCAGAGCCAAGCCATGCGAGTAGTGCGGACGGTAGGACAAGCTTTTGAAGTGTGCCATAAACTTTCAATAAATGCTCCAGAGAACGATCATCTGGATCAGGACGAACAGGATACGCTTACCCAAGACTTACTTAGCGATCGTCTTAGTGATATTACTAGTGATAAACCTAAGAAAGGTAAGATTTACATATTTTCTATTTCTTTTAATCTAACCACCCTTTTTACCAAAAATTAAAAATAATTCTATCCGTCGTCAGCTGCATTCCTGTTCTTTAAATAGAACAACGTAGGGCAAATAGCTGTTTTATATAATTACGTACATACACACACACACACACATACACAGAAAATAAACCTTGCTTTATGGCTATAGTCGGAAATAAAATAGTTATAAAATTGTTGTACATTACATAAATAAACATTATTACAATGGCGATCTTAAATCGAGCACTTTATTTCTTGTAATTAAACAGGCGCATAAACACTATTTTGATTGATTCGGTTTTGTTTGACGTGTTTAAACTTTAAATAAACCTAAATATTTCGTTAAAATTTCACCTGTTTGAAATCGAAAATTTAGTAACTTGAACTTGAACACTTTTTTATAACATTAACAGTAAACCTATTCATGCAATACGTAAATATTAATTTCCTTTTTGTAAACTTTGCAAGCGAATATAATACGAGGTGCGTTCAGAAAGTTTTCGAATTTTTTTAATTACGCGCTAATGGAGAAATTTGGTGATATGCGGCTGGCAGTAGGCCTGTGAGATTCGTGAAATAATGAATCGACTTTCGATTCATCAAAAAAATCGATTCGTATTCGAATTCAATAATTTTATTTGATCCGAATCGATTAATCCTGTGCAATAAATCGATATATCGATTCGAATTTATTTGTATTTTTGAATCAACCCATCGAAGAAATAATAATAATAATAATAATAATAATAATCGTCTTTATTTATTCCATTACAAAGTTGATAACAAACATTACATACAAACATACAAAAATAAAAGAACAAGTGGAATGACAGGTGAAGTTCAGCTACAGCTGCTTTTCAACTTAACCTTAAGAATATTACACAACAATAAATGTATTTGCCTCTAAGTCCTGTGCTCCTGTTACACAAATTATATATTTGCCCATCTTAAATTAGCCAGATAAGTCATTGATATCAAAATTTCGGTGATAAAATACAACGTATATTAAAGGTGTAAGTCTCCAAAAAGTGATTTTAATCTTTTTTTGAAGTTAATTAAAGCAAAATTTTTAATCCCATTTGGTAACTGATTATACAACTTTGGGGCTAAATATGAAAAACTACGAGTAAAGGTGGCAGTTTTATGTTTGGGGGTTACCAGGGTATTTCTATTACGTGAAGATCTCTTATTGTTTACATTACCAAATTTAATTAATTTATTATATAAGTAAGTAGGTGTACTAGTGGTGAGTATTTTATGTGTAAAGCATATAAAATGATATTTGAACATATCAACGATTTTTAACCACCCAGCATCTTTATACTTGTGACTTATGTGATCAAATTTCCTGATACCATAAGAAAAACGTAAACATGAATTTTGCAACCTCTGGAGTCTGGATCTATCAATCTGTAATAGATTTGGACCATAAACAACATCACAATAAGATAATTTAGAAATAATTAATGATTCACATAATTGTAGTTTTAAATTTTGATTCATCACTTGTCTTTGTGGGTATAGTTGTTTTAAAGTATTATAACACGTCTTTAACAACTGATTTATGTGCTTAGTGAAACGTAGATCTGAATCGAACCAAAGTCCTCAATTTTTGCATTCACCAATGTATCATCCAATCCAATGTATCATCGCTTAAAATAATTTTTAAGGAATTTTCCACTGCCAATCTCCTTTGTTTAGGGCCAAACAATAAAACATGCGACTTATTTGAGTTTAATTTTAATCTGTGCTCAAGAGATAGCTTATAAAGTGAGCTTAAGTCTTGATTGATTCTAGTATTAGCATCTCTGCCATCGTCCAAACTAAAACCAGAATATAATTGAGTATCGTCTGCATAGTGATGTATATTACAAAAAGAAACAGCTTCATAAAAATTTGAAATATAAATAGAAAATAGCAAAGGGCTTAAAATAGACTCCATATTGAACAGGTAATGGTTTAGATACTTTGGATTTTAGATGTACCCTTTCAGTTCTAGAATAAAGAAAATTTTCTATGAGAGCGGTGGACTGTCTATCAAACCCAAAACAGTTTAATTTCTTACATAATAGATTATGGTCCAAAGTATCGAACGCCTTACTGAAATCTAACAAAATTAAACAGGTGACTTTGCAGTTATCAGTATTACGAAGTATATCATCGACTACTTGAGATAAAGCTGTAACAGTGCTGTGATTTGATCTAAACCCTGATTGAATTGGAGGAATAATATTATGTGCTAAAACATATTCATTGATCTGTTTATATATAACCATTTCCAAGATCTTTGACATAACCGGCAGTTAGCTTATAGGACGTAAATGTGAAATTTCTGATGGAGTAGATATTTTTGCAAGCGGTAAAATAGTGGAATGCTTCCAAGCTGATGGAAATGTCGAAGTTATAATTGCTGTGTTAATTATATGTGTCATATAATGAATTAAGTGTGTACTTACTATAATAAGCATTTTAATTGAAATGCCGTCTAAACCTACAGACTTTGTTTTAATTTTATAAATAAGTCTTAATATAGTATCACTATTTATAGTTTTAAACGTAAAAGGTTTTTTCCTAGGTGAACTTTTGTATTTATCTTCAGAGATTTTATAATCTTTGTTATCAATATTAGCACTGTTAATAAAATAAGAATTGATGTCATCAACGTTGCATATAGAGTCAGGTATTTCACCTCCAGCAATTTTATTTTTGACAATATCCATAGACCTTAGCGCCTTCCAAGTGCATTTACTATCTCGATTTTTGAAAACAAAATCCATATAGGCTCGTTTCTCTCTCCGTATTACCCCTGTAATATAATTACGTAAATCTTTATAGAAATTAAAATCAGTTTGAAGTTTAGTTTTCTTATATTTTCTAAAAGCATCATTACGTAAATTAATCATATCCTTTATAGTAGGAGTTAACCAGGGTGCATGTGGTTTAGAAACACGTACTGTTCTGAAAGGAGCATGCACATCAAATAATTGTAAAATTTTTTCATTAAAAAAAGTTAACATATCATCTACATTGTTCAGGGTGTATAAATAATCCCAATCAATTTCATATAAATCATAAACAAACAATTACTCAGTAAAATTTTTAAAATACCTATATGTAACAAATTTAATATTATTACCAATGCTAACACTGCTTAAATTACATGATGTTAGAAAATGATCGGATATTCCTGGAATATCCACAACATTCACGCCGCTAAAGGATTCATTATTAGAAATAGCTATGATATCAAGTAATGACTTTGAAGTACGAGTGATACGGGTGGGTTCAGCTATTATTTGATTTAAATCATAAATTTCAAACAAACTGTTTAGTTTATGGGTATTATTGTCATTCTCTAATAAATTGACATTTAAATCACCCATTATAATCACAGCATCATATGCGGGCATATAAGAAAGGATAACGTGTGATCGAGAGCTTCCAGTCCAGAGCTTACATTGCCTTTTGGAGGATTTTTTCCCCCATTTTTTTCCCATTTGGAAATCAAATGAAAATATCGAATGGCTGATCAAATCAAGATTGAATCGGAACATCTAACTGTCGAGTAAAATTTATTTGAATCGAGGCGTGAAAAAAATTGTAGGTATATCGATTCGAGTCGATTTGTATTTTCGAATTGAATAGAATAGAAGGAGATGAAGGAATATTTAATTGTAATAAAACAATAAAACATCAATGTGTTTGGGCACCAAACATATATGGAAATAAATAGATCAGTTATTTGGTATGTAGTGCTACTACTAGCAATTAGAAATAACAGTGATTTCAACTTTTGACAGTAAGTTTAACTTACTGTCAAAAATATTAAACAATCGCTAACTTACTAAGTTAATATTAGCCGGAGGAAGAAACTTATTGCTTTTGATAAATATTGACTGATCAATAAAAATTTATTAAACATTTAAATTAATATATTTCGTATTGAATGGTCTGAATAGGGGTCCTATATGAACAATTAGTCTTAATTTAAATGAATAAAAAATATATCGCATAATTTTTTTCCGAGATTTGTTTTTATCTTCTAATAATGTTTTTGTTTTATTCCTTTGTTTTCAGTTAAAAATTGTTAATTTTGTTTCACTGTTTTGTAAATGTTTATTTTATTTTTGTTAATTATATGCACAGGGAATAAAATAATTTGCCTAAATTCGTAACACAGTCAAGATAGATAGGTCTACGTGATAGACAGTTGTGTGAGAAACTATATCGTATCTTGACTCCAAGATTCAAGACGCTCGGGTGAAGACACGAAACAGTCTCCCTCGCCCTTATGTTCGCTACGGTATGCTTGTGCAAATGAGCCTGACCTCACACTAGAATATTATTATGTAATTAATTAAATTGCATTTTACCAAATTACAGTAAAATTAAGAGTGCAAAAAAGTTTTCATTAGACACAATACTCGTAGTTAATGAATGTTATGAAAATGGATCGTGTAGTATCTGAAGATGATTTAATATTTAATAAACCGGAACATCTTAATAAATTTAACCGCGATATAGGTACCAGTAAAGTAAATAAAGAATCGAGCAATTTTAAACTTCAAATAAATGTTCAGATTCGATTCGAATTAATTTTTCAATTCGATTTATAGATTTTAATCGATATATTAATTTTCAGTCTACTACCTATTCGATTCGATGCGATATCTCGATCAGATTCGATATCAAGATTTTTTTTCTGCGAATCGATGAATCGATCCCAAAATAAAATCGATTCGAATCGATATATCGATTTTTCGCCCAGGTCTAGTTGGCAGTATTGCGTTACGTATAATCCCTTTAACCACATGTTCATGGATTGTTGGTATTTCATTTAGTTTTCGTGATATTGTTATTTGACAACGTGTTAAGACGATTTTTGAAATGCGCGATTTTGTGGAACAACGATGCAACGTAAAATTTTCCGTGAAACTGGGGAAACCTTTCACGGGGACGTTTCAACTTTTGA